GACAGGACAAAAAGCCTTTAATCATGGAAGCTTAGTACTATTTCAGTTTTCCTTTGGTAAATAGAGCAATACACCATATTAAGATTCAAAGTGAGAGGTATGCTTTTTTTCCTGTGAAGTGGGGAAAGGTGAATAATGAAAAGGGAGGTGGGAATGATAACATTTCCTGGGAAAATTAAAAATATATATATTTTATTTATGGGGTGCCTGGGTGGCTCAGTCGTTAAGCGTCTGCCTTCGGCTCAGGTCATGATCTTAAAAAAAAAAAAAATTATTTATTTATTTGACAGAGAGAGACACAGTGAGAGAGGGAACACAAGCAGGGGGAGTGGGAGAGGGAGAAGCAGGCTTCCCGTGGAGCAGGGAGCCCGATGCGGGACTCGATCCCAGGACCCTGGGATCATGACCTGAGCCGAAGGCAGACGCTTAACGACTGAGCCACCCAGGCACCCTGGGGAAAAATTTTTTTTAATCGTGTTAAGATATAATCACTTTTAAGTGTATAGTTCTATGGCATTAAGTACATTCACATTGTTATGCAACCATCACCACCATCCATCTCCAGAATTTTATCACCTTTCTCAACTGAAATTCTGTAAACACTAGCTCCCCACCCCCCCTTCTCTTAACCCCTGGCAACTACATTCTACTTTGACTATGAATTTGACTGGTACCTTCATATGAGTGTAGCCATATGATATTTATCCTTTCATGACTGGCTTGTTTTACTTAGCATAATGTCTTTAAGATTCATTGATGTTGTAGCATGCACCAGAATTTCCTTTTCTAAGACTGAATAACATTCCATTGTATGCATACATCCCATTTTGTTTATCCATTCATCCACGGATGGACACTTGGATTGCTTCCATCTTTTGGCTATCATGAAAAATGCTATGAACATGGGTGTGCAAATATCTATTCAAGTCTCTGCATTCAATTCTTTTGGGTATATATCTGGAAGTGGAATTGGTGCATCATATGGTACTTCTGTTTAATTTTTTGAGGAATCCTGGGAAATCACTTTTAAGAAAATGATCTGAATATCAATTCACTAAAGTTTCTGTGTCTATGTATCTCTTATAAAGTCTGTACCCAGATTGAAAACTCCTGTTCTGAGTCACACCTTGGAACATAAGGGAGGGAATGCAATGTGTGGTGAAAAAAAGCATGAGTTTGAAGTCAGAGAGGCATGGTTAGAATTCAGTATTTACTTAGTCTAGAAACTGTGGGCAAGCCAATTCCCTCTCCATAGTTTCCTATTCCATAAATGAGGCTAACAATACTTATCCCACAGAACTATAAAGAGAAGAGATGAAAGGAACCTACCAGAGAGGTTGACAATTCACTTGAAGCTATACTGTTGTGGGAGCCTGGGACACAGGGAGAAGCAAGGCCACCTGGTAACAGCCACAGATGTGCAGAGAATACAATATAATGTAGTGTGGGGCCAGGACTGATGTGCTTGGCAGAGTAGGTACATGAGAAAGGTCAGGAAAGGTCTCAGGAAGAGGGGGCAGTGGAAGCAAGCCAAGCGAAGACACAAAAGCATAAAAAAGCACGTTGCGAGGGGAACTTGAACAGTTAAATGTGGTGTCACCACAACACAAAATGCAAAGACATGAAAGGGAACAAGCAGGCAGCTTCTTAAAGGCCACGGGAAAGATCTTGACTTTATTCTGTGCCTTGGTTTCATTGTATACTTCAAATTCTTCTGTAAAATGAGGACTGTTGTATACCTTTCTCATACGGCTGTTAGGATTAAACACAAACTAAATAGGATAACGCACACACAACACTTAGAAGAGTGCCTGGCCCATACTGAGGCCCAAATATCTCCTCCTGTTAATACTACTGTCTTGAGGTGGCAAGAAAGGCTTTAAGCAGGGGAGTGACATTGTCACATTTGCATTTTGAAAAGATCAGCAGAGGGAAGCAAGGAGGATGGATTGTAGGAGGAGAGAGTGTTGGATTCAAGAGGCTGTCACAATAAGTAGTCTAGGAAATAGAAAAACCCTGCCCTGCCCGAAAACAGGGACTATGAGGAGAGAGGGAATTCAGCTTTTTAATAGCAGAAGAGATGAGCTCTGATGCCCATTTGAATGTGGGAGGAGCAGGAGTGGGAAGAGTCCTAGATGAGGTCCTCATGGTTAGCTTTCTTCCTGCAGTGATCTCCATCCCTCCTCCATTCTCCAATAACAAAAAGGCCATCACAACACATTTCCTTTCAAAGTTTTATTAAAGTTTAAAGGAACAATTAATATTTGTAAATTTTTTTTGTTAACCTCAGTACAAAAATACAGTTGACGACTTGACAAAATTGGCTCCACCTAGGGCTTGAAGGTTTCTGTTTCTGTAATAGTAACAGGGAAAAGCATGCTTCCAGCTGGGGCTGAGTCCAAACACACAGCCACTCCTGCAGACACATGCGTGCGAACAGGGAAGCCCAAGCAGAAGAGGATGGAAGTTGCCGGGATTCAGGAAGAAGCCCAAGATTATTCCCAGGAGAAAAGAAGAAACAGGCTGGTCTCCTCAACGGGGGTAGAATTTCTGATTTACATTTAAGTTTGTTTTTTTAAATGATAAACTATTTCTGCAATTTTAATACTGTAGAAAAGATGCTACTGGTCTCCTTTCACCACCAAGGTGAATAAAGCGGGAGGAAACGGAAAAAGATTCAAATATTGAAGTGTGAGGAGTACACCTCCAAATGGCTCAAGTTTTGTGTCAAAAGCTGTCATTCTTTACATTCCATGACAAACAGACATCTAGGAGGGAGCAGGAGAAGGAAGTTTGCTGTGCTCTGCTGGATCCACAAACGTGGAGACCAGCTCCTGTCAGCAGAAGTCTTCCACAGTGAGAGCGCTCCTCCCCATGTAGGCAGGAGCAAGGTTTCCTGGTTGGTTTAATTATTCTGAGCGATTCCTCAATATTCCCTCCCCTGCTGCTTTCCTTCCAGAACACTAACTCTGATGAAAGAAGGGATATATTCATGTTACAACTCATCTTCAAGATGTTTCTCTCTGAAGGCATCCCCCGTCAGCCTCTCCTGAGCTTCCTTCATCCCCTGAACAACTGTGAAATAAAGGTTGGGGGGAGAAAGTATGAAGTAGGTTTTTAATATCTGACATTTGACAACTAACATAGATTTTTATTATAGGAGAAATATGATAGGAGCACAGGATCTGGACTCTAGATCTAGTTCTGGATTTTAGTCCTGGAAAGTTATTTACCTCTTTTCCAGGTATATATTTGTTTCCTCATCTATAAAATGAGGTAACGTTACTTACTTCACATAGGATTAGTATAAAAATTAAATGAATGGATAATAGAAGAGCTTTATAAATGATCAAATACTACAAAAATACTACTAGTTACTATGGCTTATCCTCCAGGATTAGGGCTGAATCCCTGTCACAGACTACAGATGTTCACTTGTCTTTAAGGGAATAGAAAACAACCTCCTACCATCCCCATGATGATCTTTTGATGAATGCTGCATTTATTTTTCATTTCCTGTGGAAGTTACAGGAGAGCATGTGTGTGTGCTCAGAGGGGGTATGGTCTTCAATGAAGGAGGCAGTCATTTCTAGCATCAACCATACCGAGAAGCAACCAAGTTCTCAGTCAAAAAAAAGAGCTGAACTATCTCAGGACAGCTCTCTTGTCGACTCAGCGTCGAGGGCAGCTGTTTTGGGACAGGCTCTCTATAGAGTGACAGGCCAGGAGCTGGGTTGAGCCAGAGTCTGTAAATCTCAGAAAGCAAGCCTATAACCTTGTAAGAGCCAGGTAGTAGAGTTTGTTATTTCCCTTTTGCTGGGCCTAAGCCTTTAGTAAAGCCAGGCTTGATGTTCCAGTTTCATGTCAGCTGAGCCATGGGGGATCCAGGCAAGGGTCTTGTGTCCACATTTGGACTAATGTGTTAAAAGATGATGGCAATGGCAAGTTGGATGAAATTCTAAAGGGAAGGTGAATCTCTAGGGTCAAGAGTTGGGGACCTAAAATCTAGCTGCCCTTCCCATGTGGGAAATTTCCCTCTAACACCAGCCTCCGGTGATCTGCATTTGGGTAAGGAAGATGACATTCTCCTTACCTATGGGAAGGAGATAACCTCTCCAGATCTCTTTCCTCTCCCTATTCTGAGAAATAAGAGTTCCAAGGACTCAGAACATAAAGTGAGCAACAACCTGGCAGCATGGCAATGCAGGACACATGGCAACTTAGCAAACAACCCCCTCTTATAGATAACAGGAGGAACTTTGGAAGGAAAACAGGGACAGTACTTAGCATGAATTCCAACCCCTGCCTCTAGAATGACGGTGCTCAAGGATTAGAGAACAAGAAGGCCTGACATGATTTCAACCTTCCTTCACCTGTTTGTGCTGATGCTATTCTCTCTGCCTGGAACATGCTTTTTGCATTCTTCTGCTGGCTAGGTCTCATTCTTCAGGATTCAGTCCAGTCACTGTGTCTTCTAGCAAGCCTGCCGTACTCTCCATATTGGGCTACACTCCCCACCCTTGCTTCCATAGCTTGAAATGTCCTTGTATCTGTTCATAGAGACAAATTTTTATCCTTCTAGGTCCAGTTAAAGCTTACTATTGATGAAACCTTTTAGACTTGATCACCTAATGGCATTCCCTCTCCTCTGAATTCTTATAGGAAGAGTCGCATTAGCACAGTGGGGAAAAACTTAAGTTCTGGACTGAAATTCCGGCTCTGCCACTTAATTTTGAGACCACAGGCAAGTGACCACCTCCATGAGCTTCAGTTCTTCAATTTCCCGTGGTTCATTTAGCTCCAAACAGCATTGTAAGCAGCTAGGGAAGGGGCTCAGTCTCATCTTTCTCCTGTATTTTACACAGGTTCTAGCCAAAAGCTAGTCATGCTGGAGATGCTCAGCTAACACACAGCATCGAGTCTCCTCTCATAGACCTTGAATGTGGTTCATCCTAGTTAAATTTAGCAGCAATTCTCCCACTCTCTCAACATAACCATACCTTGTTCGGCACTGATGTAGAAATACTTGTAGCTGGGGTTTCCATTCTCATTGATGATTTCAGGATGCACCTTGCCACTGGGATCTATTGTAGACAAAATGGCACAAGGATTGCAATAATGATAACAGAGAGGTATTGCAAATTCTCTATAGTACATTAGGCCCTCTAGAAAATGAGACCTGCCCATCTTTGTAGCCCATTATCTCACCACTCTACCCCTTGTGTTTTATGCTGTAATCACAGTGAATTCCTTGCAGCTCCCTGAACTCAAGTCCCCCATGCCTTGGCATATGCTGTTCTCGCTTCCTGGCATGTTCCCTTTCTTCTTGATGATGGTGGGATCCTACATTTCTATTTGTCTCCCCCACAGAATCCAGCGGAATGCTGAGCAAAGATTAGATTGTCCTTAAACTTAACATCTTTTATAAATTGTTTGTGGAAAGACATCTGTCTGGTTATAGTATTCCGCTGCCTCAGTTGCACTATGAGGTCAAGGGTAGGAATTGTGGCTTATCTCTGTCCCTGCAGTGCCTAGCACAGTGCTTGACATATGACTGACACACAAATGAATAATGGATGATCAGTATTCTGTCACTGCTCAAAAAAACAGTTAGTTAATGGAAAAAATTTTCCTTCAGACTTGAAGTTCTGGCATTCGGAACTCCCCCACACTTTCTTGAAACTGGCTTTTGTTCATTTTTGTTTTTAACCACCCTCGTATAGCTTCACTAGAGTCAGTGCCTCGACTCCCTTATCTCTTTATCACATCACAGATCCCCAGATTAAGATTTCACCTTACCCAGGAAAAGGATTCGCGGAATATAACCCCCATCAGGGCTGAAATCTTCATCCTTGGGCTCCTCTTCATCCTATTAAGTATAAACGTTAAGTCAGATCATGTCCTTTCTCTCTTCAAAACCTTTCAGTGGTGGGGTGCCTGGGTGGCGCTGTCTTGGTTTCAGCTCAGGTTGTGATCTAGGGGTTTTAAGGCTGAGCCCCGAGTCAGGCCCCATGCTCAGTGCAGAGTCTGCTTAAGACTCTCTCTCCCTCTGCCCCTTCACTCCACTCTGTCTCTGTCTCTCTCTCAAATAAATAAATAAATCTTAAAAACAAAAACAAAAAACCTTTCAGGGGCTTCCCCTCTCACTCAGGGTAAAACCTCAAGTCCCAAGTGGCCTAAGAGGCCCTACATAATCTGCCACCTGGGCACTTTTCTGACTCTATGTCCTACCCCTTGTTCAGTCTTCTTCAATGATGCTGACCTGCTTGCTGTTGGCTGTCCTTAAACAAGCCAGGCATGCACCTCACTCAGGCCTTTGCACTTGCTCTTACCCTCTGCCAGGACTTACTTCCTCCATTTTCCACATGGCTTACTCCCTTTTTTGTTTCAAATCTTTGCTCAGATGTCACCTTCTTTTCTTTTCTTTCTTTTTTTTTTTTTTTTAAAGATTTTATTTATTTGACAGGGAGAGACACAGCGAGAGAGGGAACACAAGCAGGGGGAGTGGGAGAGGGAGAAGCAGATTGCCCACGGGGCAGGGAGCCTGATGTGGGGCTCGATCCCAGGACCCTGGGATCATGACCTGTGCTGAAGGCAGACGCTTAATGACTGAGCCACCCAGGTGCCCCAGTTACCTTCTTTTCTAACCATCTATTTAAAATTGCAAAGTATCCCCTCCACCCTTCATTTTTAGCCATAGCAGTTACCACCATCTGATATATTTTGTTTAACTGATTTGTCTGTCTCCCCATATTCATTTTCTCATATGTAATTTCAATAGGGCGGGGAATTTTATCTGTTTTTCCATCGCTGATTCCCAATACCCACATCCTTGACTTGCACACAGTATTTCTTGAATCAATGAGTTAATGAGACTGACATTTTAGCCATAATTATGGAGTTATAGTCCTCCCAGGAGATATGACCACACATTTAGCTTTCTTTTGAAGAAATGTCTAAATTTGGAGAATGCTCAGTTAAGACATTTCTGTTTCCCTTGAGTGGTGATTCTAACTCAGAAAGTGATGAGAAGTTCTTATGCATAAGAAATCAACAGTAATTTTTGTCATTTTTGGTGTGGATCCCATTTCAGGAGTTAAATGGAATTTCTTCAAACTGTAATACAATTTTCCCTTGAGTGCGGTGTGTCAGCATTCAGGCTATCCACTAGTTATATAAGCAATCCTTTACAAACCCTTAGCTGCCTCAACATTCCCCGTTAGTGTCCTCAAAAGATTTCCAGTCCTATGTTTAAGTAAATATTATCTTTACAGAAACTTAGGGCTAGAAGTTTCATCATAAAGCATCCAAGCATCCCTTATTTGAAGAGTACACCCTAAAAGGCAGCAGAGCTAGGTCACAGTACCTATTCTTATCACTTATTAGGCTCTCTGATCTTGACTAAATCACCTAATTCCTTCGGTCCCAAGATGTTCTTTCTGTAAAATGGAGATATAGTCCCAGTGGCCGAAAAATCCCTTCTAAGATCTGATATTCTGACTTGAGATTAAAAGACCTATAATCTATGTCAAGTACATAAAGGATATCTAATGAAGAAACAGGAAGATTGTATATACAAGCCTAGCACAGAGAAGGGGCTCAACTGCATCACATTTTGCAGGGATCTGTGTCCTGCATGTGTTTTTATACCTTTAGTTCATCCATACAATGATGTAAAACATGTCATAATCATGGACTAAAATTGAGGGGACCTTAAAACATAGTCATTTTATCCAATTTCTACTCTTATTCCTCTGACAAGTGGAGGCTGGATGGCTTTCTACAGCTGACACACAAGCCTTAGTATTAGAGGGTCAAGAGGAAAACACTTGTATACGAGAAGCCAGCTCTGCTGAATATGATTTTACACCATTAATGATGATAATTTCAAAACAGCAAAGACTTAAAATCATAGCAGAAAGGAGAAACTCTCAAAGTCTTACCTCAAGGTTCACCATAACAAAATTATGGGAAAGTTCTGAAATTTCTGTAGATTCAGCAAATTTGGGCTTTAAAGCTAGGAGGGGAAAAAGATTTTAGAATAGATGAAAACATCACTGTCATATCCAAACCCTAATTTGTTGAGTTGATTCAGAGAAATGAAACTTTTTTTTTTTTTTTTAAACTCCTAAGAACCAGAAATCAGGACACCTGAATTCTGGTCGTGCTTCTGCCACTTACTCACACAGGTATATCACTGGAATGACTGGCTTCATTTCTCTGGCTTTTATCCCATTTATAAAATATGGATAATGGCATACAAATGAAAAAAAATTATTTCTATATGCTTTTTATAGCCATATTTCAGTAACTTCTATTGAAGTAATAGACAAAGACAACAGAGTAACATCACAACATGTATATATATAAGTATGCTATTTACACTAATTTTATAATCCTTTTCCAACTAGGATTCTGCTGAGTGTAGCATACCCAACAAAAGAAAAAAACCTGACTGGGAAGTAGCAAGGGGGCACAGCAGAAAGAATATATGCCACAAATAACCTTGGGTTCTAATTTGGTTCCCACCTCCTCCAGGAAGACTTCCCTAGTCACTTCTCATGTCTCTGTATATTTCAGTTTCCTATATTTACGGTCCATATGACTACTGTAGCACTTAATCCTATACTCTCCCTAACCATATCTCAATTGCTTCACCCTCTAATCCCTGGCATAGGTAACTGCAAACTTCTTGAGAGCAGGGAATCTATGTCATATATTTCTTTGGTATTCCTTAAAGCTATCAGCAGTGCTGGGACAAAGTCTGTGCTAATATATATTTTTTTCTTTTTTTTATTGTGCTAATATTTTTTAAGTGTTAATATTTAAGAACACATTGGAGGTTTGATTATTTGCACTTACCTTTGCAAGCTCCACACCAGGACTTGTGGATAATCACCATCAGAGGCAAGCCACTTAAAAAGAAAACGAAGAAATTACAATCTAGTAATTCCACTTCTTTTAAGTCTATCCTAATAAAATGACCACTTTATAAAGACAAAGGTTAATGTATAAAGATGTTCTAGACTAAGAAAATTTTTAGGTGACCTAAATATTAAATATAGATTATTGTAATATAATTATTGGTAAGTTCTGACATTCCTGTAAATTCTGCAAATTTGGGTTTTAAAGCTAGGGAGAAAAGACTAGAAGAGAAGAAAACATCAAATTACAGTACTTCTAAATGTTATGGTTATATAACCATTGAAAATGTTAATAAAACTTTTCATTGGTATGTCAAATTAAAAACTAGAATAGGGGTGCTTGGCTGGCTCAGTCAGTAAACATGTGACTCCTGATCTTGGAGTCATGAGTTCAAGACCCACGTAGGGCAGAGAGCTTACTTTAAAATAAATTTAAAGAACAAACATAGGGGTGCCTGGGTGGCTCAGTCAGTTAAGCATCTGCCTTCCGCTTAGGTCATGATCTCAGGTCCTGGGATAGAGCCCTTCGTTGTGTTCAGCAGGGAGTCTGTTTCTCCCTCCTGCGCCCCTCTCACTGTTCATGTTCTCTAATAAATAAATAAAATCTTTAAAAATAAATAAATCTTCACAACAATCCTAAGGTATACACTATTAATGTTCTCATAAAAGAAAGGAGAAAACGTAGACTAAGACCCTAAGAGATTAAATATCTGACCACATAACATCTAGGCTCTGCCACTTACTAGCTAATTCATTAATTCTGACTCCAAAACCAATGTTCTTTCTGACCATTATTGTCTACTTCAATTTAGGATGCAATCCACAACCAATAATCAACTAACTTTTAATCAGAGAATAGAGGTTGGAAAAAGCCTTAAAGGTTGCCTCGTCCAAGCCTCCATTTCACCCAGGAATTCTAATATATCATATATCATCTAATATATCATATGTAATTATAACACATCCAATATATCTAGTATAACAAAAGGTGGTCCAGATTGCCTGATGAGCAAGAAACACATCATCAACGAAGGCAGCCCATCCTTTTAATAGCTCTATGCATTTACAGAGCAGTTAAGAATGCCTTGCTACCTCCTCTCCCAAACTCCTATTTATCCTTCTAGAGCAGAGATCAGCAAACTATAGTCTAGACCTAATCCAGCCCACTGCCTGCTTCTGTAGAGCTGTAAAATACAAATGTGTTTTTTTCATTCCTAAAAGGAAATGAAAGACACATACCAAAACATAATAGCTGTTATCCCTAGATAATGGGATTGTGGATTTAACTATACTTTTTCTGTATTTTCCAATTTTTCTATAATCAAATGTAATTTTTATAATTAGGGAGGAAAAAACTTTTTTTAAATGATGAGCAACATAATCCACCTGAACCAGTCTTGGACAGATGAAGCTCTTAAGCTCTCAAGGCTCAAATGCCACCTTGTAGGAGAGTCCTATGTAAGCAGCCATTGGCTTTCTCCATCATCCAACCCCAGTATCATCACACCACCATACACTGTATAAGATGATCACTGCATTTAATACATTGAACTCTATTACTTACCTGTCTCCCTACAACAGACTTGGGAGTTTCATTTTTAAATGGTTGAAAAACAAATCTAAAAAATAGTACCTTGTGATATTAAAATTCAATATAATTCACCTTTCAGTGTAGTTTTATTGAAACACACTCATACTCAGTTGTATACTTATTGTATATGGCTGTTTTTATGATACAATGTGCTACAGTTAATAAGCTGCAACAGAGACCTTATGGCCTACAAAGCCTAAAATATTTACTATTTGACCCTTTGATGACCCATGTTCTAGAGTGACAGTTCGAATGTTAACCCCTCTAGGAAGCCTTCTCAAAACTACCTTCTCTCAACAGTTAGTCCTTTCCTCCTCTGGGGTTCCAAAGCATTCTGTCATCATTCTGCAACTGCCAACTCTTTTCATCCCATAATCATGTTTACTTGTCTGTACTTTTCACCAAACTATTACTTTCTCAAGGGCAAAGACTGTATCTAATTCATCTCTGAAAATCACAAATGCTGGCAAGTTAGGTACCCACCATTTGTTTAATGAAATCAATGGAAGAATGAAAAGAAGCTTAAAGTGATATCTGCCTTGAAATACAGAATGAAGCACTACAGTTGTCGTAACTACTTTAGGTTAGACCAAATATCTAGTCTCTTACTAAGCACTATTCAAGTACTATTTTGGTCAAAGGTGTAATAGCGATACTCGTGTATCTAAATATTACATTATGTAAATTACATGCATAACATTAAGTTACATTAAGTGAAAAAGATTCCAGCAGACTTTCTTCTTCTAAAAGATTTTATTAGATGAAATAATCTAGTAACGTCTTTCACTTCCACTAAAACCAAAGCTTCCCAAGGACAGAAACCTGTGGATTTATCTGTGACCCCTGGCCCCAGGATAGACTCACAAAAAGTAGGCACAGTACTCAAAAAATCGTTTGTGGTATGAACAAAGGGACAGTGCAGATGCAGAACTGGGCCATCTTCAGTTCTTGTTCCTAATTGTTTTAAAACAATTCATCCAATCTGCTCTTCCACAATTCAGATGGGGGAGATCAACAGTGTGTGATACCCCAAGGAGAACCCAATCTAAACAAACCGTGTCCACCTGAGCACTGTCCCCTGGATAAATTTGCCAAGATCCTCCAAGCCAGTTCTCCACTTTTTTTCTAGTCTCAATCTATGCTGTAAACTCAAGGCCTGGCATAAAGGAAAGCGTGAGTAAATCAGTCACAACAGCTCTAGTACCACACACCAAAATGCTCTGCAGACCCTGAGATTACCCTATCAAGAAAAACAGAGAGCAGTGGAGGTTAGATGAGGAGCCATGTCTCCCCTCGACCCCTCCATCCACTCTCTCTGGTTAGTGCAGGCTCTGGCTCAGATACTGCAGAAACATGTTGGCCAGCTGAGGCAGGTTTTCATTGTTGGGATGCATTTTGGTGTAGGAAATAAACTGGCGACGGAGGCGACTCAGTTCTGCCATGGTCAAAGGCCGGGTAAACTGCAGGTGCTCCGTGGTGCCAGGAAGCTTAAGCAAGTCTCCAGGGACCGCGCTCTTCTGCGCCTCCATCAGTCCCGCCAACACCTGGCTCGTGACCTGATCCAACTGGTGCAGAAAGCTGCCAGACGCAAGGGGCTGGGACTGTGTAGACTGATGGGGTGGGGGAGCCTGGTTCTCAAACAAGGCAGCCCGTATTTCTGCTAGGGGCAACGGCTCCTCCAGGCCCACCAAGGTGAACAGGGGCCGATCCCAGCGGTTCCGAGAGTCGGGAGCCTCAAAGCGCAGCATTAGGGCTTCCATAAGTTCTGGAGGATAAAAGGCACTAGACACACGCTTTGCAGATTTATCTGGAGTCACAAGAGCTGGAAGATCTGGCGCCTTGGTTTCCTCCTGCTCCAGTTCCTTAGGTACGTCGGACTGGGTTCTTCCACTTACTACAAAGTCCACTGTTTGGGGTTCCCTGAGGACACTACTGCCAGCCGCCAGAGGTCTCCCTCTTTCCTCAGTGCGCGGCTTCCAACTCACACTGAGGTTCTGGCCTCGGTTGTCTGCCGCACCCGCCTCCCGAGGTCCCCCGCTCAGACCACCCGGCCGTATGCAATATACCAAGCAGAGCGGGGTGCGCGCCGCCCGCGCAAGGCAGTAGAGCTCGTAGCGGAATCCCTTGATGTAGTTAAGCGAGTCGAGAATGACCACATCGTGGCGACTCAAGCGCCGCTCCACCGCGGCTCGCAGAGCTCCGCGCAACGCCTTCTCACGGGCCGAATCGCGGTACACGGTCGCGTCCTCCGTGCCCAGCACCGCCGCGTCATCCACCACGTACACCGCACGGCCCTCGGCCGCTAGCGCCCGACGGAGCTCCTCCGCACGCCGGCTCTTGCCGCTGTACGGCAGCCCGCAAAACACGACGAGCGGCATCCTTACAGGGCGCGGCCATGTGCATCCGCGTAGCGTCAACTTCCGGGGTGTCGACGTCACGGACGCAAACCGGAAAGGCAAACTGCACTTCCTGTCCTCTCGACTCTTAAAGGACCTACTGTTGCTATGGAAACACGAGTTCTATTCCAACTAAATCTAGGACCTGTTGTCTCAGAAAGGTGATGGAAACTAGAATGACATCAGTTATTTATGTCAAATAGGCATCAAAAGAATGTGATCTCCCTGTGGCCAAAGACTATGCCCAACCATTTATAATGGGGCCTTAATGAGCATTAAACATTGCAAAAACAATCAGCACTATATTTAGCATACAAAAAGACAATTCATAAATGCTAGTTCCCCTTCATACCTTACACCTAGTGACTCTCAGTAACTGTTTACTCAATAGCCATTTCAATCATTAAACGTCTCCACGACTGGGAATTCTGAAATGAACATCAGTTCCCCCGTTGGAGGTTAAGGGTCTGAATGGGAAAAATCAAGTACCTACAAGCTGAGTAAGATAATACTATAATGGATGGAGTAGGTTGAGATGTAAAAGTAGAGGAGAAAAACAAACTGCCCCCCAAAATCACTTAAGACTTTATCTAAGAATAGGAACTTGAAAACTAACAAATTTGTCTCTTGGGTAAGGTTGCCTGGTAAAATACAGGATGCCTAGTTAAATTTGAACTTAGATAAGCAACAAAAAAATGTTTTTAATATGTCTCAGATATTGAATAGGACATATTTAAAATTACTTCTTGTTTACCTGAAATTCAAATTTAACTGGGCATCCTTATTTTTGTTAAATCTGGCAACCCTATTCTACAGAATGTGTGAGACTCAAAGCCATGAAGCTGTAGGATCCGTTCTAGCAAAAACAAGCACAATATAGTTGGCCCTTGAAAAACATGGGTTTGGATTGCACAGGTACACTTGTAAAGCAGATTTTTTTTTTTTTTACAGCACAGTACAATAAATGTATTTTCTTTTCCTTATGATTTTCTTAACATTTTCTTTTCTCTACCATACTTTGTTGTAAGAATATAGTATGTAATATATATAACATACAAAATATGTGTTAATTGACTATTTATGTTATCGGTTGGCTACCAGTCAACAGATTACTGGTAGTTAAGTTTTTGGGGACTCAAAAGTTATATGCAGATTTTGACTAAGCGGGTGGTCAGCACCCCTAACCCCCCAGCATTGTTCAGAAGTCAACTGTAATTTTGCAGTTGCAGAAGTGTGTTTCTGTGCAAGTATGTGTGTATAAAAAGTAGATGCACATATATTGGGTCTTTGTGTCTCTCCAATACAGTATAGTAGAGAATATTCAAGTATTGGCTCTGTCACTTACTGTGTAATCTATTGACAAGTTATTTAATCATTGTGTGTCTCAATTTCCTCTCTCATAAAATAATAACAACAGTTCTTATTTCACAGGCTGAACCAACCTCATAGGTTATAAGGATTAAATAAATTAATGCATGTAAAGCACTTAGATCAGTGCTTTAGCCTTCCCTCCCCTGCTCTGCCTTTTCTTCCTCCTTTATCAGTTATTTGCATCAGTGCATACACTAAACTAATTGAAAGTTAAGACTGTTCAACTTGAGGGGCGCCTGGGTGGCTCAGTCGTTGGGCGTCTGCCTTCGGCTTGGGTCGTGGTCCCAGGGTCCTGGGATCGAGCCCCGTGTTAGGCTCCCTGCTCCGCGGGAAGTCTGCTTCTCCCTCTCCCACTCCCCCTGCTTGTGTTCCCTCTCTCGCTGTCTCTCTCTCTGTCAAATAAATAAATAAAATCTTAAAAAAAAAAAGACTATTCAACTTGAGACTGTTAGGCAGTATGGTTTACTGGCTGAGTGCAGGCTCTGAAGCCAGAATGCCTGGGGGTTTGAATCTTGGCTCCAACACTTACTAGCTGTGTGATCTGAAGCAAGTTACTTAACTGCTCTGTGTCTTAGTTTTCTCATCTCTAAAATGAAGGTAACAGCAGTACCCACCTCAAAAGAGCTGTTGTGAGAATTAAATGAGTTAATTCACATAATTCAGTGTTTGGTGCATAATAAGCATTTAGTAGTAGTAGGAATAGTAGTATTGTTATCATCAGGCAACTACTCAGTTCTGGCTCTGTTTTGGCATATCCCTTCACCTGAAATTAATGTTAAGGTGATGCCTGGAAAATGTTTCACCAGCATAAATAACCTATTGAATGTATTTTTCTTTTTTCTTTTTTTTTTTTTTAAAGATTTTATTTATTTATTTGAGACAGAGAGAATGAGAGAGACAGAGAGCACATGGGGGGGGGGGGGTCAGAGGGAGGAGCAGGCTCCCCGCCAAGCAGGGAGCCCGATGCAGGACTCGATCCAGGGACTCCAGGATCATGACCTGAGCCGAAGGCAGTCACTTAACCAACTGAGCCACCCAGGCGCCCTGAATGTATTTTTCTTAAAAGTAATTTCTAGGCCCAACATGGGGTTGAACTCTCGACATTGAGATCAAGAGTTGTATGCTCTACCTGACTGAGCTAGCCAGGTGCCCCTTCCACCATAAATAAACCAAAACCATATCTTGTACCTGGCAGCTGCTTCCTTCTTCCCATCTTCTAGTGTCCTCCAATGAATGTGATCTCCAAAACCTGGAAGGAAAGAGCCTTATAAACATTTACCCGTGAACAAAGGGCAAAGACCCAAAAAAGAAACATGGCATGGTCACAAGATACGCATAAAAAAGCTTTTGTCTGTCAAAAGCATGGTGTTCAAGTCCCAGCTGCACCACTTTCTAGGTGTATGGGGACCATGAACAATCCCACCTCAAGCCTCAGTTTTCTTTCATCCTATAAGATAGAGATAACACCACCTAATCCATAGTTTTTAAGGAGATTAAATAATGGCTGTGAATTGCTTTGTAAACTAACACTGAGTATGCAAATAATACTATAAGAATGAATGAGAATTTTCCATAGAGTAAACATAAAGTAGGTCATACAAATCATTACTAGTTGGAGACAATACAGCAACATAGGTTTAGGGTCAGAAATACATGGGTATGTGACTCTATTTCCTATGAAATGTGTGAATGTAGTAAATTCTCTAAGTCCAGATGATAATATCTACCTTCAAGCATTGGTGTAAAGATTAAATGAGATAATGTATTTAAAGCTACTCTTATTATTCCCCTCACTTCTGCCAGAGTGATCTTTTAAAATCACATCTCTAGGGCGCCTGGGTGGCTCAGTTGGTTAGGCGACTGCCTTCAGCTCAGGTCATGATCCTGGAGTCCCTGGATCGAGTCCCGCATCGGGCTCCCTGCTCGGCGGGGAGTCTGCTTCTCCCTCTGACCCTCCCCCCTCTCATGTGCTCTCTCTCATTCTCTCTCTCTCAAATAAATAAATAAAATCTTTAAAAAAAAAAATCACATCTCTGCTGGGTAAAAACTTTTCAGAGGCTTCCCAATTACCTAAAAAGAAAGGTCAAAATCTGATAGCAGGATTTACAAAGCCTTTCAGAATATGACATCTGCCCATCTCCTCAGGCTCACTTTCCAGGCTTTTTCTAAAATCCTATATACAAAACTACTTTCATTTCCTTAAACTGGCTGCCTCCTTGGTCTTTTCTTCTACCCTCACTTCCTATTCATTCCTAGAGGGCATCTTTACTTCTGGTAAATCTTTCCTGACTCCCGGGGCGTCTGGGTGGCTCAGTTAAGCATCCAGCTTCAGCTCAGGTCATGATCCCAGGTCTTGGGATTGAGCCCAGCATCATGTTTCTTTTTTGGGATTTAAAGGGATTGAGCCCATGCTGGGATTTAAACTTCAATTTTATGACTTCTCAGTTATTATACTATCTTTCAGGCCTTTCTTTCCTTGAAATAAATTCAAATTTCCATCATTGTTACTGCAGGGGAATAAAGAGATCATCCAGATTAGCAAGGGAAGGCAGTGTCCAAACTAATCATCATCACTTTTCATTCCCGACAGCAGTGAGTTGCTAGCCAAGAGAAAATGTGTCATTTGCCTAGGGCCCAAAGTCCAATCCTGACGAGTCAGTGATTAAGTGAGAGTGAAACTGGGAGAACTGGAAGGTGCCTAATGTGACTGATCATTCTACCTGTCAATACCTAAACTCAGGAAACTGAATCCTGCTTTGGTGGGATGCCCAACTAGACAGTCTGGAGGGATATCCACCTACAAAACAATAAAATCCCAGATAAAATGGACTTTCAAAATGTACTCACTGGGTTCACAGTGATAAACACAAACACAAAATAAACTGAAACCAGATGAGGAATAGTGAGCAACAAGCAAAAGGGAAGACTGACCTCAAAGAAATATCCATTACAATAGAGCAAAATGGAGGAGATAAATCTGAGACTCATATTAAACCAACTCAAAAAAGACTAAAGTGGTAATACCCTTAGGTTTCCAGATGAATCAAATGCCAAACCTGTCTAGAGGAAAGTACTCCCCTCTTTAGGGCTCCAGAACAGCCAAAGATGAACAATAATTATGAGTTCACAATCCTAGATCCCCAAACATGTATGAAAACAAGCCACCACAAGTAAGAATCAGCAGAAGCAACAAATAGATTTAGACCCTAAGGACTTCAGATATTAGAATGATCAGCCATAGGATACAAAATAACTATGTATGAATATTTGAAGAAATAACACAGGGGATCACAAAAATGGGAATGCAACACAGGAAATAAACAGGCAAATCTATAAAGGCACCAAATAGACCTTTTAGAAATTAAACATATAGGAGTGGCTGGCTGGTTCAGTCGGTAGAGCATCTGACCCTTGGTCTCGGGGTTGTGAGTTCAAGCTCCACATTGGGCATGGAGCCTACATAAAAAAATTTGTTGGGGCTCCTGGGTGGCTCAGTCAGTTAAGTGTCTGACTCTTGATTTCAGCTCAGGTCATGATCTCAGGGTTGTGAGATCAAGCTCCACGCTGGGTGTAGAGCATGCCTGGGATTCTCTCTCCCTCCCTCTCCCTCTGCCCCTCCCCGCCTCCCTCTCTCTCTCTCTGTCTCAAAAAAAAAAAAAAAATTGTTGAAATACAAAATCAATGGACATTCAGTGATAAAAAGAAATGAGCTATTAAGCCACAAAAAGACACAGAGGAAACTCAAATGCATATTGCTAAGTGAACAATGCCAACCTGAAAAGGCTACATAATATATGATTCCAACTATATGACATTCTGAAAAAGGCAAAAATATGAAGACTGTAAAAAGATCAGTGGTTGCCAGGGGTTCACAAGGGAGGGAGGGATGAGTAGGTGGAACACAGAATTTTTATAGTAGTGAAACTATTCTGTATGATTCTGTAATGGCAGATATATGTTATTATGGACTAAATTGTGTCTACCCCACCGAATTGGTATGTTGAAGTCCTAAACCACAGTAACTCAGAATATGATTGTATCTGGAGACAGGGTCTTTAAAGAGATAATTAAATTGAAATGAGGTCATTAGTGTAGGCCCTAATCCATTATAACTGGTGTCCTTCTTTTCTTTTTTTTAAGATTTTATTTATTTGACAGAGAGAGACACAGCGAGAGAGGGAACACAAGCAGGGGGAGTGGGAGAGGGAGAAGCAGGCTTCCCGCAGAGCAGGGAGCCCCACGTCGGGATCATGACCTGAGCCAAAGGCAGACGCTTAACCGACTGAGCCACCCAGGTGCCCCTAGAGTGAGTTTTGGAAAGAAACATTAAGACTTTAGGGATGCCTGGGTGGCTCAGTCGGTTAAGCCTCTGTCTTTAGCTCAGGTCATGATCTCAGGGTCCTGGGATCGAACCTGTGTGGAGCCCGTGTTGGGCTCCATGCTCAGCAGGGAGTCTGCTTCTCCCTCTGCCCCTCCCACCCCCTGCTTGTGTGAGCACGCTCTCTCTCTCAAATAAATAAATAAAATCTTAAAAAGAAAACAAAAACATTAAGAGTTTGGATTTGGATATGTTCATTTTGAGGTGCTTACCAGACACCCAAGTAGAGATGCTGAATAAGCAACTGAATGTCTGAGGCTGAAATTCAAGGGAGAGTTATCAGAATATGGATGTTATTTAAAGCCTGAGACTGAAAAAGATCACCAAGAGAGTGAGCGTACATGAAGAAAGAGTCCAAGAGCCCTGGAGCACTCCCAGGTCAGGTTCAAGAAGAACTGACAAAGACAAGAGGAGGAACTGCCAGTGAGATCAGCAGAAAACTAGCAGTGCATGGAGTCCCGGAATCCAAGTGTTTCCAAGACATTTCAAGAAGGAAGGATGATCAACTGACTCTAATGCTCCTATAAAATCAGAAATGACCACAACATTTAACAACTGGAGAACAATGCTGACCTTGAGAAGACCAGTTTCAATTAGAAGAGTGGGATGAAAGTGTTATTTAGAGCAAAATCAAGGTAACCCAGGGGAAGAATTAGAGGAGTACCTACAACTCCTGCACAGAATTTTGCTGTATGAGGGACAATTGCTAGAGGGAGCAGTGAGTTGAGGAAGAGTTTTTAATTCAATATGGAGGAAAGTATAGGGATGTTGAAAGCTGATAGAAATGATATAATAAAGGTAGGACAATTGATGTTATAGGACAAGAATGAACAGTCAAAAATATCCTGAGTAGGTGAAAGGAAATGGGAGTGAGTACCTAAATAGAGGGATTGGCTTTTGCTAGGAGCACAGACAGGGGAGGAAAAATATATGGACACTGGTGTTAGAAGGTGGGTAGATGTAGTGATGACAATTTTTGAAAGTCCTCTTCCAATTGCTTCTGTTTTCTGTTAAATAGGAAGTATGGTCACCAGCTGAGAGCAAAGATTGTACAGGAAGTATTGGGAAATACTTCCCAAGACAAAGGGAAATATGAAATAGTCACCTAGGAGAAAAGAACCAGAGAAACTAAAAGAATAAATAAAGGGCACATTTCAGGAAGAAAATGATTCCAGAAGAAAACCTAGATACAAGGAACAGTGAGCAAATAAACTGGTAAAGATGTAGATAAATCTAAATAATAACTGTGCAAAGAATGCTAATACTCAATTTGTAGTGTTAAAAGAAAAGACAAAACTAAAGCACTGAATACTTGCTTATAAGTAAAGAGGAGGTGACTAAAGTTGAAATTCTTAAGACCCTCTTACCATTGGAGGCTTAAGATATTAATGTTAGATTTTGTAAGTATGCAAGTAAAATTTCAAAAGTAACCACCAAAAGAATAAAACTAGAGTGCCAACTTCCAAACTAATAATGGAGATAAAACAAAAAAGAAAAATAAAATACTCAACCCCTAAAGTAAGGGGAGAAAAAGGCACAGAAAAAACAGTAGCAATGCAAACCGGATGAGAGGAATAAGACCAGCTCTGTCAGGGTGCCTGGGTGGCTCAGTCGGTTAAGTGTCCAACTCTTGATTTTGGTTCAGGAAATGATCTCAGGGTCATGTGATGGAGCCCCATCAGGCTGTACACTCAGCACAAAGTCGACTTGTCCCTCTCCCTCTGCTCCTCCCCCCAGCTCTCTCATGTGCTTTCTCTCGCTCTCTCTCAAATAAATAAACAAACAAACAAACAAACAAACAAACAAACAGGGGTGCCTGGGTGGCTCAGTCATTGGGCATCTGCCTTCAGCTCAGGTAATGATTGCAAGGT